CGCAGGGCCGGGTCTTCCCCCCCCTGCCCAGGTGACCAGAGCATCGCCTCCCAGGCGCCAGGCTTTTGTCTGCAGACAAGGAGCGAGATCCCCGCTGTGAGGGATTCAACAGCAGCCTCTCAGGCTGGCTGAGACAGATCTCTGGAGAGGGGCACCGACGGGGGCATTTCTGCCACAGCCCCAATCCCCTTGGGATCAGGGATGCTCAGCTTTTAAACACAGCGATGCCCTGTCAGAGCCCCTGCGAGTAGGACGGTGCTGTTATTTCGTTCTGACAGATGGGACCAAAGCAGTGGTGGAGATTGTCAAGGGCACAAATGGCAATTAGTTGCTTCTTTCCTGGGGAAAGTCAGGGGCAGTTGAAGCTGGTGCCCAAGCTACAGTGCTGATAATGCCAGAGCCAGATTAGGATCGGTCACAGCCTCGCACAGAGTGACCGGTCCTGACAGTAGCTCCGTGACCTTCCTTGTGGGTGGTAGGTGAGAAGTGGGCCTGATTTTCCATTGCTTTGCATTGGCACGTAGACCTGGCTGTGGTGTGTGCAAAAGGGGAATCAGACCCATGCAGCTCTCTAGGTTGGAAGGAGAGTATGGCACCTACCAAAAGCAACGACGATTTACTCTGCTCGAAAGGTGAACAGAGCTGCATGGGGCTTTTCAGTCTAGTAGCTCACTGATTTGCAGCCTCTAACAGAGTTTCTGGCTTCTCTGTCCAGGTACCTGGGCTGGGAAAGCCATTAAGGAAGAAGGGTCTGGAGAGGAAAGTCCTGAGGACCCAGAGACAACCCCAGCACCTTACAAGAGCCTTCTTCTGGCTCCCAAAAGATGCTGCCAGAGCCAGCCTGGGAACGAGAGCCCCCAGGCCTTTGGGAAGTGTTGTGCCCGGGCACCTCAGAGCTGTGTGGGGGAGCCGGTGTTGTCCTGCCTGGACTGCGGGCAGCAGTTTGGTGACACGGAGGCCCTGAGCGAACATGAGCGGGGCCACGCGGCCGAGCGCACCTTCATCTGTACAGACTGCGGGAAGAGCTTTGGGCAGCACGCCACCTTGGTGGAGCATCAACGCGGGCACACGGCCGAGAGCCTCTTCCTCTGCCCCGGCTGCGGCAAGAGCTTCACCCACAAAGCGGCGCTCACGGTGCACCAGCGCACCCACACCCAACCGCGTGCTGCTGCTGCACCACCTGCCTGCGCAGCAGCCCCTCCGGTCATGGAGGGGGGCGCTGCCGTGGCCCCGAAGCCCACCAAGCCCTTCCCATGCCTGGACTGCGGGGATGGCTTCCGGTCGCATGCGGCGCTGCTGAGCCACCAGCGCGTGCACGCCGAGGAGCGCCCCTACAAGTGCGTGCAGTGCGGGAAGAGCTTCTGCTTCCATGCAGAGCTGGCCTCGCACCGGCTCTGCCACCCACCAGAGCGCTGGTTCCCCTGCGGCGCTTGCGGCCGACGCTTCCGCTCCCAAACTGACCTCATCCTGCACGAGCGCACCCACCCCGAGTCCACCTGGTGCCTGTGCGCCGAGTGCGGGAAGCTCTTCGCCAGCCCTACCGAGTTAGCCCGGCACCAGGCCGGCCACGCCGAGAAGCCGCACGCCTGCCCGGACTGCGGTAAGGCCTTCGGCTACCTGGCTGACCTCCTGCTGCACCAGCGCTCGCATGCGGAGAAGCCCCACGGCTGCCCCCAATGCCACAAGGGCTTCGGCTCCCGTACCGACCTCCTCCTCCACCAGCGGCTCCACGGCGAGGGCCAGAGCTTCACCTGCACCCAGTGTGCCAAAGCCTTTGGCTCCCGCACGGACCTCATCATGCACCAGCGCAGCCACCGCGACCGCCAGTCATTCTCCTGCCCGGACTGCGGCCGCGTCTACACCAACCGCTCCTACCTGGTGGCCCACCAGCGCCTGCACACCGGGGAGAAGCCATACCAGTGCGCCCAGTGCGGGCGCAGCTTCAGCCACAAGTACCACCTGGGCAAGCACCAGCGGACACACGCTGGGGGCATCCCGCCTGTGTACTGAGCCCCGGTGCCTTCCCAAATCGATGACTCCAGCCACAAG